CCATTTCATATGGCCAATTGATTCTCACAAATCTTTCACTGATTTTTGTCAAACTCTTGTATTCCTAGCCAACCTATGCAACTGACAAAGTGTAGTTCTGACATGAATGTTGGCTGATTTTTCCACTTATATTAGTAAGAAGAAAGAGAACTAAGCAAGTTATATGTTGGAACTTTACATGTTCATCAGTGACTTAAGCAACTTCTTTGCTAAATCAGATAACTTTCAATATACTGGGAGACGCCTCAGATCTTTCTGTGCTTACCATACAACAACTACAGACGCACTTTTAAGTTTACTGCATCATTAACATTTTCTCTATGGCTTTAGACAGCTAACAAAACAATAAATCAAGGCGTGATGAGTAGCATTTACTGGTTCCATGATGTAAATAACTCTCAACGTGGCTGGTTTGAAGGCAGTGACCGACAGGAAGTTCCTGAGCACACACTGAGAAGAGATAGGCAGTCGTGGTGCTCCATTATATAGTATTTCTTTTTTTTTTTTTTTAAGATTTTATTTATTTATTTGAGAGAGAGAATGAGATAGAGAGAGAGCGCATGAGAGGGGGGAGGGTCAGAGGGAGAAGCACACTCCCCGCCAAGCAGGGAGCCCGATGCGGGACTCGATCCTGGGACTCCAGGATCATGACCTGAGCCGAAGGCAGTCGCTTAACCAACTGAGCCACCCAGGCGCCCTAGTATTTCTACCATGTAGGGACAATAGACGTAAATAACCTCTAGAGAGTAGTAATTAAGAAGATGAGTTTGGACCATTACCTTTGCTTTCGTATAATTTATTTAAGTGTAAGTTTATATAATTAAATTTTTAATAACGGCTGTGTTTAACAACTGCCCTGTAAACTTCCTGAGCATTTTACAGTTTTCACAATCTCTTCTACCCTGGCTCTGGCATACCACTAGGCCACACATCCTCATTTGCCCACTGTTTACAAATAAATAAGCCTCTTGGCTTTGTTAACAGCCTGGTTTAAAAAAAAAAAAATTCTCATTTATCCCATGAAATGGGGCAGGAAAGATTGGGGTGAATTGCTTGCCTCTGTCCTGAGCTCCTCTGGCCAGGTGAGGGCCTGACTTTAGGCGATCAGTTCGCTCAGAGAGAGTTTTTGTGATGGGCTCCCCCATGGCGGGAGAGGATTGAAGGCTATGGGCTTCCTGAGAGCCTGCCTTGCTGTTCTGGCCAGCTCACTGCTCTCTTGGCATAACCATGGGGCAGTCATTTTCCTCGTGGATACAGAGAGATTGAGGGAAAATGGACTAAGACTACATTACTGCTAGTGTGTAGTGCATGGGAAAGGGGAGAAGAAAAGCCCTGCTCACCCCCAATCCTTCCTTGCCTTTTCTATTTTTCCTTTCCTGTTGTTACCCATCACATTCCTTGATGTCATGCCTGTCATTGTGAGCCGACAGGCCCTCCCTGGCCTGGTGGACAGCCTGTAAGTCAGGAGGGGAAGTGGAGCTGCGGAGGTGTGGGGGAGTAGTGGTCACACCAACACCTCGGAATTGGGCTGGGTCTGCGTGGAGCCCCAGAGATGGTCCCCAGCCCGTTCTTTCCAAGAACCAATGAGTAAAATTAGGGGCCTCCCACCTGAGGTCAGGGAACCAGGCCCTGGAGTGGAACTTGGGGTGGAAGATGGCCTTCTTTGTCAACTGATTCATTCTCCAGAATTCAACTTGTTCTCCGACTCGGTGGTGTTTGAAAGCAACTTTATCCAGGTACCCCCGTGGCAGCTCAGAGCCCGCTCCCTTTCCCTTTCCAAAACTTGCTCCAGAGGGTTGATCCAAAAATGCTGTGGCCTCTGAAAGCCCTGGGGAGGAGAAGGAAGCTGCTATGGCTAGAGACAACCAGAGGGTCTGGATCCCAAGTTCAGCTCAGTTTGTGCCTAAGGCCTCGTGGGGCTCCCCGCAGGTCATATGCTCTCAGGAAACAGGATTACACGCTGCAAAAGGGCCCATCAGAGCTCACTCTCCATGCAGTGTCCATGGGCACCCTCCCAGGGCCACCAGGGAAGGGATGCTGGATTAGAGGGAATGAAGGTTGCTGTCAGAATCCCTGCTCTGAAACCCAAGCTCCTCTCTCCGGGATGGTTTAGAAATAGCCTTGTTTGAGAGCCAAGCCCCTAGAATCGCCTTGCCCAGATTCTACATCCCCTAAAGGGTGGTGATACAGCCAATGGAAGTGAGCATTTTTGGCCTGGGAAGCATGGGACCATTGAGAGTATGGGGCGGTCATTTTAACATAGTTTGGGATATGTAGCTGGCTCAGTCGGTGGAGCATGCGACTCTTGGTCTTGGGGTCGTGAGTTCAAGCCCCACATTGGGGGTAGATTTTACTTAAAAAATAAAAAAATGACATCTTATTGAGGGTCTGCCCGCCTCCCTCTAGAGGTCTAGCTGGACCTCCCGTGCTCTCTGCAGGTGTGGCAGAACCAGCTCCTCAGTCAGCAAGCTGTGTGCTGCATGTGGGGCAGGACACGTAGAGAGATCCGATAGTGTCCCTGCCAAGGAGCTTATGACTTTGTCAATTTAAAGGGTATGTTATAAAATGGTAACTGCTAAGAAAGCTCTGTCAGGTGGTTTGGACCAGCTGATCCCTAAAGCATGAGCAGAGAGAGGGGGTGCCAGTGTTTAGGGGGTTCAGAACACTCTTGGGACTTGGGCAGTTGAAGAAGGCTCCCCAGAAGAGGGGGGTTAAGTCATTCTTTGAAGTATCGTTGAGACTTTGGTAAGTGGAAGAGCAGGAGGAGGACATTCCAGGCCAAGGAACTTCAAGTCCCAGGGCGAAGACCGGAGGCTGAAGTGCACAGGGAGGGTCTGCAGTCAGGAATCCCTGTGATGGAGTCACAAAGCAGCGAGGACTTACAGGAGAGAGTGGAGACAATCTGAGCTTGATTTGGAGATGCCTTCATACAACAGTGAGCTCCTCCCTGACAAAGTCCCTCAGATTCCAGCCAGCCACTTCATGGCTCCGGGCGCTCCCTGGTTCCTGTGCTGCCCCAGGGGGCTGCGGAGTGGGGCCATCAGCGGGCCACCTGGGGGTGTGCTCCTTCCTAACACAGTCTTGGTGGAGAAGGAGCAGTGACGTGGGAAATCCAGATTCCAAATTCCAGTCATTTCTATTGGGGTGTGATGTTTTGGCAGGAGGTTTATTCTCTGAATATGTTCTCTTTGACCTGAAATTAAAAGATTCTCTGGGTAGACACGTAGTGACTCAGGCAGCAGGAAACTCAGACCGTACCAGGGAGCGGGAAAGCCTGCCTGCCAAAGCTGCCCCATGGGGGAGTTAAACGTTTACTTGAGGGGCACTTGGGTGGTGCCGTCGGTTGAGCATCCGATTCGTGGTTTCTGCTCTGGTCGTGATCTCAGGGTCATGGGATTGAGCCCAGCCCTGGGCTCTGCGCTCAGCACAGAGTCTGCTTGAGATTCTCTCTCCCTCTCCCTCTGCCCCTCCCCCTCATGCTCCCTCTCTCTCAAATAGATAAATCTTTAAAAAAGTTTACTTGAAAGGATCCAACCCACACAGTTAGGTGATTCCCTTTCTCCCCGCTCCTCAGAATCTCTGCCATCACCTCTAAGAAACATCACCCACAAACGTTTATTTATCACTTACTCAATGTATGCAGCCCCCTGTGTTTTATAATACATATGAATCTCATTCTACAACATGGGCTCCAAGAAATGTTTTTTTTTCCTTCAAAATAAAAACTCACTTTTCTAGGGGCACCTTCTAGTCAGCTTTGTGGGAACTTAAATTTCAGTCCTTCCTGGGGCTTTCCCCTTGTCCCCAGTTCCACCATGGCTGTGAAATGGTTCTGATGGTCCTACAAAGTCTAGAACATTGGGAGAAGTCCCTCTGGTCTTGGGAACATAGGGAAACCCCCTCAAATGTCCTTACCCTGGTCCCTGTGGTTCCTTGGAGGCTTCTCTGCCTGTCCTGGACAGTGAAGTGGGGGTGTCTTAGCTGAAACGCTGTGCCCAGTGCCAAGCATCCAGTCTCCCTGTCCTGCCCCAGCCTCAGGTGCTGCAAGAGAACAGGTTCTTATTTCACTTAAGATCCAGCAACAAGGGCGCCTGGGTGGCTCAGTTGGTTAAGCGACTGCCTTCGGCTCAGGTCATGATCCCGGAGTCCCTGGATCGAGTCCCGCATCGGGCTCCCTGCTCGGCGGGGAGTCTGCTTCTCCCTCTCCCACTCCCCGTTTGTGTTCCCTCTCTCGCTGTGTCTTTCTCTGTCAAATAAATAAATAAAATCTTTAAAAAAAAAAAAGATCCAGCAACAAGCTGGGCCCTCCCTCACCTTGCAGAAAGCTCCCCAAACCTCCCTCACATTGGGCTGCTTGGGTCTTCCCCATTCAACAGCTCTTTCCTCCCTCTCTTCCTCTTCTGGAACTTTCTTTATATAATCTCCCTTCCAGATCATTGGAAGCCTTGCTGGCTTCTTCTACCCAAGGATGGAGGAATAAAATTTTAATGCCTTTCAGCTTTTTCTTACTAATGCATCTTTTTAAAGTTAGATAATGCAGGAGCACCCGGTTGGCTCAGTTGGTTAAGCATCCAACTCTTGATCTGGGCTCAAGTCATGATCTCAGGGTCATGAGATGGAGCCCCACATAGGGCTCCCCGCTCTGTGCAGAAGTCTGCTTGTCCCTCTTCCTCCCCCTGCCCCTCCCCCACTCTCTCCCCCATCTCAAAAAAAATAAATAAGTAAGTAAGTAAATAAATAAATAAAATCTTTAAAGCTAGATAATGCAGAGAACACAAAGAAGGGCAACACAGTTTTGCTACCAGTGAGCTGGTCTATTTGGGGAGACCCACAGAAAGGATGGATGCTGGTCATGGCCCAGCCCAGTGTGCCGCACACCTTCAAGAAGCACAGGGGCTCGAAGCATGTCACCAAGTTGAAGTGCTGCTTCCTAGCCTCTCTATTCTTGCACCCTTGTCTTCCGCTTCTCTCTGACCCATGTACCTGGGGCTGATTTCTAGGTCACTAAGCCCGGAAGCTGGATGGATGTCTATGAAGGGTCTACCACTGTGATCCTCGGGGTGACCTCCTCAGTGCCCTCCCTGCCACTCCCCAACGTCCTCCTGATGGCCAACGTCACCTGGCCCCAGGGTCAGTTTTCCTCCTGGACCACACCTGACTGTGCTCCCGTGGTCACCCTCAGCAGGTAAAGAAAGACTGGAGGGAGGGGCCAGAAGGGGCCAGAAGACCACATTCTTTTGCAGCTGGATTTTAGATAAAAGAAAGGGCAGTGTGTTCATGTATAAACTATGTAGAATTCCCTCATTAATTTAACAAGCATTTCTTTAGGGTCTGGGTGTACCAGGCATTGTGCTTGGTGCTGTGGGGTACAGAGCACGCATCCCTGTCTCAGCCTGGTCTTGAAGGATCTTGGCTTCCATTTATTTATTTATTTGTTTGCTTATTTATTTATTTATTTTGATTTATTTACATTGACTTATTGATTTATTTAATATTTATTTATATTGATTTATATATATTCTTTACTTATATTTTTATTTATATATTTACATTGTCTTCATTTATATTTATAGACATACAAATTTATTTACATTTATAGACTTAGGGCTTCCCCCCCCCAAAAAAGGTGAAGGGTATGAAAGTCAGTTGGGATTATGGAGTGTTAAAATTTTAAAAAAAATAAATAATACCAGATGTATAGGACATCCATCCTTCTTTACTCTGTCAACACAGTTAACCAGGATATAGGGAGAAGATCTGGAAATGGAGTCAGAACACCTCAGTTCCAGGTCCTACTTACGTAGATCTAAACTTGGGCAAATCAGTTAGCTGTTCTGACCCTCAGTTTCAACATCTGTAAAATGGAATTAATATTTTTCATCAAAGGGTTGTTGTGAGGATTGAATGAGATGTTACACATCGACTATCTGCCATTATTATTGATGTGGGCAGGTTCTTTAGTGACAAAGGCCCTGGAAGTCAGAGAAGAGTCGGTCTTAGCCATCGTTCCCACTTCAGGGCCACGAGCGTCCTCCTGGGGCATCCCCCAGGCAGTGGTGGGAGCCTAGTGAGGTTGGGCCAAGCACTAGGTGGGCACAGCATGGTTGATTGAACCGGTGAGCTCCTCCCTATGGGAATTTCCTGATTGTGTCTAGGATTCTCCCCCTGAAGTTTGTGGAGCTACAAATCTATGACCGGCTCCAACGCATCCTGCGGGTTAGGACAGTGACTGAAAAGATCTACTACCTGAGGCTCCACGAAAAACACCCAGAAGCTGTGTTTCAGTTCTGGATCCGCTTGGTGAAAATTCTGCAGAAAGGTCTGTCCATCACCACCAAAGACCCGAGAATCCAGTTCACTCACTGCCTGGTGCCCAAAATGTCCAACAGCTCCACTAGAACAACAGTAAGTGGGGCCTCCCACCAAGACCCGCTGGGGTGAGGGGGGATGGGGAGCACAGCGCCTCAGAGCACTGCTGGATATTAAAGTCTAGCGTTGTAGGGGCAGACTTCATTTTCAAGGGCCAATGACACATACACACCAAACCGAGGTCTACAAACATAAAAAGCAAATTCATTTACTTTTCCTAAAAAAGAGCTATAAAGTGCTTAGCTCACTTAAAAATTGCTTTCTGTTGTTTTTATCCCCCCAGTATATAAAAGAATAATGTTCACTGAAGAAAATTAGAAAATTACAGAAAAATCGCTCCCACTTCTCTCCAACCCCAAGCAATCACTTGGAACATTCTGGCATACTTCCTTCCAGTCTTCCGTTTTATTTATTTTCTTTTTTTGTTTGATCTTTATTAGGTTTTGGCATTAAAGTTATACTGTCTTCTTCATATCAACTGAAGAATTTTGCATGTGCTTTCACATTGTTCAGTATTTTAAAACTTTGAAAACATTTATTCTTTAAAGGTTAGAGGCTAGATTAAACTTGGAGTCCATCTAATCCAGGTCTTTCTTTCTTTCTTTCTTTCCTTTCTTTCTTTCTTCCTTCCTTCCTTTCTTTCTTTCTCTCTTTATATTATTATTTTTTCTTTCTCCAAGCTTTTATTTAAATTCCAGTTAGTTAGCATATAGTGTAATACTAGTTTCAGGTGTAGAATTTAGTGATTCATCATATACCTACAACACCGGGTGCTCATCACAAGTGTCCTCCTTAATCCCCATCATCTTTTAACTCATCCCTGCCCCCCCACCTCCCCTCCAGCAACCCTCAGTTTGTTCTCTATAGTTATGAGTCTGTTTCCTGGTTTGCCTTTCTTTTTTTTCCCCCCTATGTTCATTCGTTTTCTTAACAGTCTTCCATTTAAAATTAATTTTTAATTATATATTTGAGGATATTAAATATATGTTTCTGAATGTTGCTGTTTTTTCAACTTAGATTATATCAGAGGCATTTTCCCATTTCTTTTTAAAGTTCTTTACGCACATCATTTTGATAATTCCATGCTGTTCAGTAGTTGTATGAATGCATTAAAATTCATATCGCCATTCTCCTATTATCAGCCATTTAGAGTTGTTTCTAACTTTTCATTACTGTAAGCGATTCTAAAACAAGCATTTATGTGTATGGTCCACATTTCTGATTGTTTTCTCAGGGTAGATTATTAGAAGCAGAATTCAAAGGGTATGAACATTTTTAAGGCTCTTTATACATATGGCCAGATTATTTCCAGGAAGCTCATGCCAAAGTATACTCGCTCCAATGAGTGTGTCACTGTATCCTTATCACAATTGAGAAGTACACATTTTAATAAATGTTCTAACACGATAGGTAAAAAAAGTAGCAGCTCTTTGATTTTCAGTGAGTTTGAACATTGTTATATACATATATTTCTTTTTGCATTGTCCATTGTGTTCTTTGGCTATTTTTCTATTGGCAGCTTTGTGTTTTTCTAAATTGATTTGTAAAATAAAGCTTTTTATACATCAAGAATTTTAACCCCTTGGGGCGCCTGGGTGGCTCAGTCCTTAAGCGTCTGCCTTCGGCTCAGGTCATGATCCCAGGGTCCTGGGAACCAGCCCCGCATCGGGCTCCCTGCTTGGCGGGGAGTCTGCTTCGCCCTCTGACCCTATCCCCTCATGTGTTCTTTCTCTCTCATTCTCTCTCTCTCAAAATAAATAAAATCTTTAAAAAAAAAAAAAGTTTACGATTAACTGGAACCTGACAAATGTGAGGAGAACCTCTAGGCAGGTGGCTTTCTTAGGGGCATGTGCCTACCTTCCCCCTCAAAAACAGAAAGACTCCGTTCAGGAAGGGTTTTGGTCCCTGGACTGTGGCACGGGGATTGTGCACTGCACCTGGCAGAAGTAAAAGGTTTACTTTAGAAGAAGTAAAAGTTTTAAGGAGTGCTCTTGAATTAGTCCAAGAAGCAAGACTAGCTCTGCAGCCATAGAGTTTACAGTGTAAATATGCTTCTACTGGTCCCTGTCTCCCTGACTGGCTGAGCCTCACCCTTAGTTCCATGGGAAGACAGAAGTCAGGCCTGGATGCATGCATATCCCAAAAGGCTGTAGATTAATCTCACCTCTCTTTCCTCAGTATCCAGAGGCCTTCGAGAAGTGAAGACAGCTCTACTGCTCTACAGAGGAGTGGGGTCATTTCAGCCATGAAGCCTGTGTTGAACCTCTATCTCTTAGGTGTGGTGCTGACCCTGCTCTCCATCTTCGTTAGACTAATGGAGTCCCTGGGAGGCATACTGGAGAGCCCATTGCCTAGGAGCTCCTGGACCACCAGAGGTCAACCAGCCAGCACAGAGCCCCCAAGGGCGTTCCAGACAATCCATCCAGAGGGGTGTGATAAGACCTCTCTCCACCAGCTGTAATCTTGGAACACTGGCCTAAACACATCCAGGCAGTTGTCTAGTTGCTGGGCAGGAAAGCTCAGAACATCAGTGTTACCAGAACTGTTAACAGGCTCTTGAAGGGCCTCTCCATCTGGATGTTCCTTGCCCTGGAAAAAAGGCCTAATATATAGGTGTGAATGGATTGCCTACGACTGCGATGGAATGATGTCACTACTCTCCCCAGGGTCTGCTGTACGCTCTGGTGTCCTTGGCAACATGGCTCTGATGCCTCTTAGATAGGGACTTGCGCTTCATATTCAGCAGTTGGGAGATGGTGTCGTTTTCATCTCTGCGTCGTCAACATCTGCCAAGAGTTCCTTGGGGCTTGGGTGTCTTGTGGTCAGTTTATGTGGAGGTCAGCTTCTCTCCCATGAGAGCTTGTCTGTGTGTGGACAGTAGTTGAAGTGTGGTGTATGGGTTGGCTGTAGGGAGGGGGATGATGAAATAGTCAAGTGTCCACCTCTCATTGTTTCACATGGTAAAGTACTTTCTCCAACACAGCATGTATGCATGTATATTGATCAGAAGGGGGCAGTGGGATGACAAAGCCCACTCAAGATGCCATTATGGCCACCATGTGGCTTAAGTGAAATTTTCTAATGAAATAAAAATTGAATATATATTTCTAGTATGTGTCATATTGACCTCTGCCCTTGAAATTAGTGATAGGAAGGGTCTTAATCCTAGATTTGGGGTTTGACATCTTAAAAACTCAGGAGCAGAAAAGTACTTAAAACACTTCGTTTAAAACATCATGTAGGGGCACCCAGGTGGCTTAGTCTTAAACTGACTGAATCTTGATCTCAAGGTCGTGAATTCAAGGCCCTCATTGGGCTCCACACCGGGCATAGAACCTACTTAAAAAACAATAAAAAATAAAACATAATGTAAATAAATCTGAATTTGGAGGCAAGGGCAGTTGGGTCTGCCCTAAATCCACCAGTTTTCTGAGCCTGGGCCAAGAATATTCTAGTCCTCTCTTGACTCTCCATTTCAAAAGAAAAATAATTTTCTTCTAGCACCCCCACCTTCAGTTTCCGGGGGAAAGAGAACTATCAGTCCAGTAGGCTTTTTTTCCTCTGTACTGCTGTTATCCATCAGAATGAGTGCTCAGTTTTGATTGTTCTCCAGGTCAGCTGGTAAAATGTCCCACTTGACAGTTGTCTCTGATCACTCCCAGATCTTTGTAGCTTGGCTTTTACACAGAAATGGAGGGTTTGGGCTTTTTTTTTTCCCTTGCCCATATCCACTACTCCTCCATCCCCTACTCCATGTTCAAGTGCATTCACTCCTCTGCCCATGGTAATGTATCGGTTCACACACTCTTGATGTGTGTCATTTTATGTATGGGGAATTGGGTTTACTTTTGCCAAAGGGTACAAATGGTATGGTGCCTCTACTAAGCCATTTTGGCTTCCTGAGTTCTTGAGCCTAAGTGCCAACTACTCTAAAAGACGGTGGTTTGGGCATCACTTCTATTTATTGCACTGTGGTAGTCACTAGTGCTGTTTAGCAAGTATTTCCAGCTTCCCACCTTCTGGGCATGTACAGTCCGGCTCCCTGATCTCTGTGGATGGCAGGGGTAATGTGGCTCATCTCAGCACAGTACAATGAAAAATACAGTTGGCTTTTTATCTCGGATTTCAGGCACTTCATGCCAGTAGCTATCCTAGAACATACTACTTAAATTTGATATGTTTTCTCATTCTCACACTTCACCTCGTTTGGGGTGTTAACTTGAAGTGGGAGAGCTGCACCTTAAGGCCCTTTCCCCAGATGGTTTAATTGAAATGGCTTACAGGGTTCCAGAACATTTGTGAGGTCTTCACTCTAAGACAATTTAATCTACTTGGAGATTTTAACAACAGATGTAATGGCCATACCACTGTTTTCCTCTTTCCTATGAATAGGGTGACCTGCTGTCCCCGTTTGCCTGGCAAAGGGATTTTCTGGGATGCAGTACTTTTCAGTGCTAAAACTGGGACAGGTCTGGGTGAACCAAGACAGGCCAGCAGTCATCCTACCTACAAAGCTGAGTTCAAAACGGCATTTGTCATTGCAAACATTTCTCAGTTTTATCTGTTAACCAGTTAGGGATGAGAAGTAGTTGCCTTTGTGAACCCTGCAAACCCACTGATTTCTCTTTACAGCCCTTGTGCCTGCTTGAGAGCTGGCCAGTTCAGTTCTTGTCTGAGCTAATCTTGGACTTCGTCAATGGCAACCAACAGTATCCAATTCAGGCTGCTAAAATTCTTTCCTCTGACTTTCTCTTAACTTCTTAGATCAAGTATGTCTTCCAAGTTACTGCAGGCAACAGTTTTACCAAATACTTTGCTATTTATGACGAGTTGCCCTCTTCCCATCTTTCAATAAGATCGCTTTGCTGCCTGCCCTCCAAGTAAGTTAATGTCACACATTCTGAAGTTTTTTGTTTTAAATACATATGCATCACCCACCTCTACAGTCCTATCTCCTTATCAGTCAAGGACACATTAGATTAGGTTCTCCTGCAGCAACAACTCTGAATTCTCAGTAGCTTAAAACAGAACAGTTGCCTAAGGCTGTGCTAAATTAGGAAAATTAGCAAATTAGCTAAATTAGCAAAATTAGGGCCTACTCAGGGAATATTCCCTTCCCGCAGGGTAAGGGGCCTTCTTCCCATCTGCTCAGTGGCACATGGTGATTCCTAGGCTACTGTTTCTTGTTCCTCCCCTTTTCCCTTAGTGCATTCGTCTTGTCCTTGTTCCACCAATATTTATTAGATGGGTGGGGGCTTGTCTTTTTAGTTTAGAGTTCTCCACCTCAAGCCACTTCGGAAAGTGGTGTAGAGACTATTATGCATCACTTGGAGATTCTTTTTTTTTTTAAAGATTTTATTTATTTATTTGAAAGAGAGAGAGAGAGAGCACAAGCAGGAGGAGTGGGAGAGGGAGAAGCAGGCTCCCGGCTGAGCAGAGAGCCCGACGTGGGGCTCGATCCCAGGACCCTGGAGATCATGACCTGAGCCGAAGGCAGAC